AGACCTCATTCTGGATTGCCAATCCTTGAGGGTGATGTTCCTGCTCGGAGAAGCTCCTTCTCAGAGATGACTGCAGGGCTTGCCCCAGCTCGAGACAGGACATCCTCCCCCAAGATGCCAACACTACAGAGGCTGGCCTTGAAGATACAGTTCAGAGAGAGTAGGGGCAAACCAAGAGGGGAGTGCAACAGACCAGTGATGGGAGGGAAGCTACGAAGTCCGAGGAATCCTTATTGCAGACTTCTGACTGGGGTAGCGCGGGTGGAGAAGGGGGGGAAGGTCAAGCACTTGGCCTCTCATCTGAACTGGTTGGGGGTTACTCACAAGGGGACCACACTAAAAGTCTAAAGGTGAGATGGGGTGGGGAGGACTATACTACTCCATCCCTGACTGCAGGAATAGCAATGGGGAATTTTAGGAACTGAGCCTGTCAGACACAAATGCTGAAGATTAAAAAGGTGTTGTGTTATTAGGTAAGTGGGTCCCAGGATATCGAACCTGGGGACTGGACTGATGGATTATAACATGTTCTTTTCGCTATTTAACAGAGAGACATTCATCTGCTCTGTGTCAGGAGAGCTGTTAGACCTGAGGTATTTGTATGGTCTCCCTTTCTCCTTCTTCTTTGGCTGGTGTTTGTTTGTTTTTTAATTAATTATTTTATTGGGAACTTCTTACAAATCCTGTAACAATCCATCATTCAATAGTATTAAGCACACTTGTACATATGTTGCCATCAACATTTCTAAAACAATTTCTTTTTACTTGAGCCCTTGATATCAGCTTTGCTTTTTTTCCCCTCCCTCCCTCCCCACCCTTCTACCCTTGTGAATCCTTGATCAATTATATATTATTATTGTTATTTCGTGTCTTCCACTGTCCATTGTCTCTCTTCACCCACCTCACTGATAGTTTTTTTTTTTAATTGGGGGTTCTAGTTGGTGTTTATCTATACAAGATAGACAGGATAGGTGATCCTATGGAGACAGAAATGGGAACCATGGTTCCTGGGGGACATGGGAGGGGAGGAGGTGGGGAGAAGTGAGCGGTGAGCCAATAAGGATGGGAACAGGGGAATAGTAAAGGTTCCAAAATTAATGGCGAGGAGGGTGCACTTTTCTGGTTGTGTTCGATCAATCAAATTGTAGCTGAGAGGCATTAATGAGAGATGAGTGATGGATAAACATGATAGTAGGGCAGGAGGAAAGAAAAAGAGGAAATAGGAAAGGAAAACATATATAGATATGTATATATGTAAATACATAAACATAGGTATATTTGTTTATATATGTATATATGTAAATACAACAAGGAAGCAGATGGACTCTGGGACTACTTAAATCTTACCTAAGTATAAGAATGGTTTGTTCTAACAATGTGGCATGGTATGGTACTCACCTTCCTGACACGATCATCGAAGACAAAATGGGTGTTAAGCAAATGTGGTGAAGAAAGCTGATGGTGCCTGGCTCTCAATAGATATAGTGTCTGGGTTCCTAAAGGCTTGTAGTTAAACAAGCGGCCATCAAGCAGGGAAGCAGCAGAGCCCACATGGAAGAAGCACACTGTCCTGTGTGATCATGAGGTGTTGATGAGAAGACGTACCAGAAGTTCAAATACAAGCAACCAAATCAATGTGAAGGGGTGTGGATATAGTGGAGACCCCAAACCCACCTGTAAGATAATTGGACAATCCCTCTGAGAAGGGGCACACAGAAGGGAGGATAAGTCCAGGGTATAGTATAGAACTGATGAACACATAACTATCCTCTAGTTCTTTAATATTTCCTCCTCTTACTATTATGGTTTTTATTTGTTTTATCTCATTGATTGTGCATATTTTCATTTGTATAATTAAGACTGTTCAATACATGACAGCCAAGATAGATGACTCCTCAGAAACAGTAATAGTAGCAATGGTTCCCTGAGGGTATGGATAGACAGGGCGGGGAAGAGCAGGAAGGGGGAGCTGACAGCAATGACGACTGTACAAGCCCACTCGAGGAGAGCAAACAACAGAATTGCATGTGAATGGATATACTGGATGGTGTATGATATGGCACATAAATAAATATGTGTTCCGGTGGTGGAGGGGGTGGGGGATAAAGGGGAGCTGATATCAAGGAGTTCAGGAAGAAAGAAAATGTTTTGAATCTGATTGTGGTAGCAATTGTACAATACAGCTTGATGTAATTGAACCATGGAATGTTATACGTATAAGAGCTCCCAATAAAATGATTAATAAAATAAATAAAAATATAAAATCATCTGTCATGTCTTTTTATGACTGCCTTACTTATCAAAGGCTGCTAAAACAGAAATACCATAAGTGGATGTCCTTAACAAATAGAAAAATATACTCTCTCACACTTAATTGTTGTTGTTAGGTATTGCTGTTTCCAACTCATAGCAACCTTATGTACAAGAGGACAAAACACTGCACGGTGCTGTGCATCCGCACAATTGTTCTTATGTGTGAGCCCATTGTTGCAGGCACTGTGCCAATTCATCTCATTGAGGGCCTTCCTCTTTTTCTCTCATACTTTAGGAGGCTACCAATCTGAATTCAAGGCATGAGTTCTAGGGGAAAGCTTTCCCTTTCTGTCGCTTTAGAGGAAGATCCTTGACTCCTTTCAACATCTGTGGGCCTGGTATTTCTCACAGATCTCCGTGTGTCTGGCATCAATCTTCTCTTGGGTCTAAGGGATTCTCAGCAGAGGCACCCTGGGTCCCAAAGACATGCTCCATTTCTGGCTTTTCTTTCTTGGTGGTAGTGGACCTCTCCCCACAGTTGGCTTCTGTCTCCTTTTATCTGTTGTAACATGAGAGGTGATACAGATCCCACCCCAGAAAAACTCTTTCTTATATCAGATCAGGGTTGTGACTTGAGTGAAGATGTTGTCCTAATCCCCTTACAACTGATTGGCTGAGCACACCAGATGACATCATGGGAAATGATTATATTATTATATAACAGCCAAATTACATATACAACTGCTAACCCACTGAGAATCATGACCCAAACTGGCTCATTTTGGGGGGGCATAGTTCATTTAAGGTAAAAATATTATATTGAAAAGTGTATTATTTATTTTGATAAGTAGTTGTTGAATCAAACGCTCATAGGATAATTACTGTTAATTAAAAAAATGAACTGGATCATGATAGTCAAGTCAGTATATGTTTATTTAAGCTATAGTATGCAAAGGCACTGGAGTAAGTGTTGTGGAGATAGAAATAGGTTCTATTTCTATCAGGAGAGAGAAGGAATGTACATAATTAATTAACCACAATAAATTGGTGCCACACAGAGGTATTAACCACCCATGTGAATAAAGGATCTATGAAATGAAAAGGTGGTTCTTTGGGGGAAGAATAACAGTATATATGATAGTAGTGTGTCCTTAAGATGCTCACAGAGAAAACAATACATTGATAACCCCAAAGCATTAATTAATCACAGCTTACAGACAGTGTGTTTATATAGGATTCAGATATAAATTCTCCTGAGGAAAATTCGGTTCATAGAGTTAGTCCCTAAAACTAAGAGGTACTTTAGATGGAATTTACAGAGGAACCTGTTTCTTTTGTTATTAAACTTTCTTAAATCAAACATATTTTTAAGTAGTCAAACATCATTTATGTGGCATCACCTGATTCCAATTTTTATAGTGTGTTATTATTATAAATTATATAGAACAGGCATTAAGAAATAGGCACAATAAGATTCTTCCTCTAAAACTTCAACTTAAGTGAAGATGCTAGTGACTAACTTAGAAACATCTGAGCCAAATATATAAGCTCAGTTTCTTAAAATACGTTGGTTATTTTTACGTTTAGACAACTTCATAAACACACAAATTGAACTTTTCCCCCCCTGAAAAGCATCCATTCAATTTCCTACACAATAGGGTGGACATTTTGAGCTATTTTCCAGGTAGACAAGTGCATAGGTGACCAGGTTTTCCTTCGTATATTTTAACAAATAAGTTTTGACCAAAGCAACAGCCTATTTCCTAGAAGGTAAAGCTAAATGTCTCATCAAATAGATCTAGTGCTTTGGATTGAATGCCGTCTCACAAAAATTTGTGTTATAAATCCCATTTGAAAAGTGTCTCCTTTGTTATGTGAATGAGGCCATATCAGTGTAGGTTGTGTGTTAAGCCATTTCCTTTTGAGACATACAAAGCAGATAAGCCCCAGAGCAGAAAGCCCAGATGGGAGAGAGGGAAGCCACCCCGCATGAAGATCACAGGAAACACAGAACAAAGCTGAGGCATGACAAGGCCCTTCACCTAGAGCTCCCTCGAACTGCTGCCCTGAATTCTGATACCCAGCCTCCTAGGCCAAGGAACTCCTAACTGCTAAAGCCCAGACTAAGAACGGACAATGAAGATGGGCTCAGCTGCCCACTCCGGAGGAAGGAGCCACTGAACACCTGATGCATAACTCTGACACAGTGTCATCTACCGAAGGCCTAATAAATGGAGCCAGTGCCAAAGGATGGGTCCCTCTCGTTGGAGGGAACTCAAAATGCACTTGGGAAAGTGGAAGGCCCTCAATGAGACGGATTGACACAGTGGCTGCCACAAGGTCAGGCGTAGGAACAGTTGTGAGGACAGTGCAGGACCGTGTAGCATTTCACTCTGTTGTGCACAGGGTCACCATGGTGTGAACTGATTCAATGGCTCCTAACAACAACAAACTAAGAAATTACAATGTCTGTTCATTAAAGCTACACACTTGCGGTATTTCTGTTACAGCAGCACTAAGTATCTGAGATGCCTGGGTTTGGGCTTACTGCATGCCCTGGTCAAGTCAAGCCAGGAGAGACCATCCACTTCTCTCCACCATCAGGAAGGAGAAATAAATAAAGCTTCATGAAGTAGCTTTATTTGCCCCCATTTTCATGTGGTCCAAATCAAGACTCAGAAAAGCAAGACAGAATCTTCAATCACATCTCAATTTGCTGGCCCTTCATGTGTTTACAGTCCACTGACCTTATCCAGGGCAGCCTGTACCTCAGCCTCACTCTCCGTGTCCAAGGCAGAGGTGGCCTCGTCCAGCAGGAGGATCTTGGGATTGCGGACCAGGGCTCTTGCGATGGCGATTCTCTGTTTCTGCCCGCCACTTAGCTGGGCGCCTCTGTCCCCAACCAGCGTGTCAAATTTCTACAAGAACAAATAAGCAAACCCACAAAGGAGATCTTGTAATATTTAAATTTTTAAAAAACCTGTATTATTTCAGGAAGATACCACGTAGTTCAATTTGATGGTTATATTGAATCATAAATTAGAATAAAATAGATCCATGCTGAATTGTGAAAGCTAATGACATATTTTGAATACAATTGTATATTAGTCACATACCAAGATATACACCTTACATTTCAGACTGAATAATTACAAGAACTTCCTTAGCAAAGTTGGACAACTCCTCAAACATTAGCTTGATCTTTTAGGAAAGAACAGAGCCCTCTGAGGTGAAATTCCAGTTTCGAGAATCTAACTACATGAACAGAGCACTTACCTGTGGCAGTTTCATGATAAATTCATAAGCATTGGCTTCTTTGACAGCTTTCTTGATCTCATCCATGGTTACATTTCCACGGCCATAGCGGATATTGTCAGCAATTGTGGTAGAAAACAACACTGGCTCCTGGCTCACCACTCCAATGATTTCCCTTAAATATCTTACATTAAACGTCCTAATATCTTGCCCATCGATGCTAATCTAAAAGAAAGAAATACTTTTTATTAACTATTCTAAACCATCGGAAAGCTAAAGCATCAGGACTCTTTCAATTTGTTAAAACAAAACAAAAATCCTAGCTAATATTTAACTTATTTAAAATTAAAATTATTAATTGGGAATAAGCAGGAAGCTTCTAAAGTAAAAATAAAATACTATGCATTTTCAGATCTTAATTATGTTACCTATAAAGCTCTTTTTCTTAAATAAATTACTATCCATACTGTATGAGTCCTGGCTTAGTGGTTATGTGTTGGGTTGCTAATTGACAGGTCAGCCGTTTGCAGCCACCAGCTGCTCTTGTGGAGAAAGATGGAGCTTTCTACTCCTGGAACAATTAAATCTCAGAAGCTCACTGGGCAGTTCTACCCTGTCCCCTAGGGTAGGTATGATGCGCATCAGCTTGATGGCTATGAGGGTTTTTTTTAATCCATAATTTATTTTAGATCACATATATTTGGCATGCCACTATTTTCTATTTGCCATATTTAAAAGACCTACTTGGCCTACATATCATTTGGATGGTGTTACTATATTTACTTCACTGTAGTTTACTTTAGCATTTTCTACCTGTTTGACACTTGGCTCCCTTAAAAATTTATTATAAGAGTAGAAAATTACTATGATGTAGAGTGTGATCTATTTTTCCTTCTCTGGGAACAATTGCTTGCCTGCCTAATGACTGGAATACATTGGATATTTATTATTTATTCATTAAAAGTTTCATAAACTCTCCAATTTATAATGTCAAGAGAAACATATAATTAAATCTGTTTTATTTTCATTTCATCAGCAATAGACTTTATTATTCTAATGTATTTTTTTCCTAACTAATGGAAGAAGCACATCAACCTATGTGACGCAAGGATTGTAAGTAATATAATCCAAATCTGAAGGAGGGAATGCTATCGGTTTCAGTTGTGAACTCCTGGTTTGCAGAAGGCTGTGTATGACAATAGAAGCTCAAAATCCATTTGTAGGATGTGCACATAGATTAAATCTCCTATGATTTCCCTCTGACCATAGTCAAGAGATATCTGGTCATCAGACGGAATACTATAGAGATGATTATAGTAGATTAAAACGTAACATCTGATTGGAATGGTTAAAATATGACATCTGATTTGATCCCCCTTTTGACACATTTAAAAGTTCTAGTGGTTAAAAAAAACTGTGAAGGTGGATACATGTGGATGAAGCCTCTGGTGAATCCCTCTGAATACAGACGAGGAGGGACGTGAACAGCCTTGCTGTTACCCAGAATGCACTGGGAGGTGCACTATGACAGCTACACCTAGTTAAAGCCCAGCACCTTATCATTTGAGGTCTCCTTGGACACATTTTAAAGTTATTCAAGTCTTAATATTTCTTTCTAATTCGGGTTTTGCTCTATTTTATTTTGTTATTGTTGTTGGCTTTTTAAACTCTTTGTTTTGTATTTTTGTATGGCTTTTGGTATATGAAGTCCAGGATGGGTGAAACAGACCCTAACTGGATTAACAGTTCCTTGGGGGGATGGCAGGGAAGGTGGCAGGAAAATGAGGAGCGACTAACAAGGAGTATGAGAAGAAAGAAAATGTTCTAAACTGGTTGTGGTAATAATGATTGTACACTTCCTTATATGATTGAACTATTGAAATGCAATGATATATGGATTATGTACCAATAAAGTTCTTTATTAAAAATAGGCATAATATGGTGGTTTATATTTGTCTTAATTTGCTTATCTTTATAAGTAGGTCTGCACAATCTTGAAATGTTTACAAATTTATATTATTCTAAAAAGATATGGATGTTTATGTTCTGTAATGACTACAGAGGATTGCTTTCATAGAGTTAATAATTTTCTCAAATATTTATTATGATACTCTTCATATATATCAAAATGTTCGAATTCATTGATTTATTTTATTGTAGCTTTATTGATTTTCATTAGAGAAAGATTTAAGATAATACTTGAATTAATCAACTGTGTTTCTGGGATTTTAAAAAATCTAAGTGAATTGATCAACTTGACCTCATAGATATTTATAGAACTCTCTATCAAATAGCCAAAAAAATAAACATTCTTCTCCATTGCACATGGATCATATTCCAGAGTAGACCACATGCCGGGACCTAAAGCGAGCCTAAGAATATCCAGACACACAGAACTCATTCTATCCATTTTCTCTAACCATAGTGCCATTAAGCTGGAAATCAACAAGAGAAAGAACAGAAAAATAAAGAAATTAACTCGAAGACTAAACAATTCACTTCCTAAAAAGGAATGGGTAATAGTCCAAATAAGAGAGGAAACTAGGAAATTCCGAGATACTAATGAGAATAACACAACATAGCAAAACCTAAGGTATGCAACAAAAGTGGTTATCAGGGGTCAGTTTATTGCAATAAGTGCACACATGAAAAACAGGGGAGAGAACCATGGTCCCCTCCTCGACACAATACCTCCAACAATTAGAACAGCATAATCCCTCCAAGAGCAAAATAAAAGGAATCATAAAAGTAAGAGCAGAAATAAATGAACTGAAAAACAGAAGAACAATGGGAAAATTTAACAAAACAAGAAGCTGGTTCTTTGAAAGGATTAACAAAATAGAGAAACTACTAGCTAACTTAACAAAGGAAAAGAAGAAGCATATGTCACTGTCAAGAATTAGGAATGAAACGGGAAGTCACAACAGACCCTAATGAAATAAAAAGATTAACAACACAGTAATATGAAAGACTGTATGCAAATAAATTCAATAACTTGGAGGACTTGGAATACCTAGAAAAACACTCGCTCCCTAAATTATCGCATATGGGCATTAAGAACTTGAACAGTCCCATAGCAAAAGAAGAAATAGACAAGGTCATCAAGAAACTCCCAACTGAAGAAAGCCCCGGTCCAGATAGCTTCCCAAGAGAATTCCACCAAGCATTCAGATAAGTGCTGACAGCAATCCTACACAAACTCTTCCAGAACATAGAAAGGGACAGCAATTCCCAAACTCATTCCACGAAACTAGCATAACCCTGCTACCAAAATCAGGCAAAGACCCCACAAGGACAGAGGACTACAGACATAGATCTCTCAGGAACACAGACACACAAATCCTAAACAAAATCCTGGCCAATAGAATACAACAACATAACAACAACAACAAAAGCACAGCATGACCAAGTGGGACTCATAACAGGGATGCAGGGATGATTCAGCATTTGAAAAACAATTAGCGTAACCTACCATATTAACAAGAAAAAGGACAAGAGCCAGATGTTCATATCAATTGATGGAGAAAAAGCATTTTATAATATTCAATACCCATTCCTAATAAAAGCTTTCAAAAAGATAGGATTGGAAGGGAAAATTCTCAATACAATAAAGGCCATATATGAAAAGCCAATAGCCAATATTCACTCAATGGAGAAAAGCTGAAAACATTTCCACTGAATAAAGGAATCCAACAAGAATAGCCCTTGTCCCCACTTTGATTCAACATTGTGCTGGAAGTCCTAGCCAGTACCATAAGACAACACAAAGAAATCAAAGGAGTACAATTGGGTAAAGAAGAAGTGAAACCTGCTATTTGTAGATGATATGTTTTGTATACTCAGAATCCAAAGGTGTCCACAACAGGATGATTGGAAACAATACAGGAGTTAGGTAGTGTAGCAGGATACAAGATTAACAAGCAGAAATCTATTGGTATCCTATATACCAGTGATGGGAATATCTAAAAAGATATCAAGGGGAAAAAAAACATTCACAACTATAACACAGATGCAGAAATACTTAGGAATAAACCTAACCAATATGGTAAACAAGCGGCTATCTAACTCAGAAGCAACAAAGCCCACATGGAAGAAACACACCAGCCAGTGTGATCACGACGTGTTGAAGGGATCAGGTACCAGGCATCAATGAACAAAAAATCAAATCATTGTGAATGAGGGGAGTACAGATTGGGGACCCAAGACCCATCTGTAGGCAAGTGGACATCTCCTTACAGAAGGATTGCGGGGAGGAGACGAGCCAGTCAGGGTGCAGTGTAGCAATGATGAAAACAACTTTCCTCTAGTTCCTAAATGCTTCCTCCCCACTATCATGATCCCAATTCTACCTTACAAATCGGGCTAGACCAGAGGGTGTACACTGGTACAGATAGGAACTGGAAGCACAGGGAATCCAGGACAGATGATCCCTCCAGGACAAGTGGTGAGAGTGGCAATACTGGGAGGGTGGAGGGAAGGTGGGGTAGATAAGGGGAACCGATTACAAGGAACTACATATAACCTCCTTCCTGGGGGATGGACAACAGAAAAGTGGGTAAAGGGAGACATCAGACAGTGTAAGATATGATAGCATAATAATAAGTTATAAATTATCAATGGTTCATGAGGGAGCGGGGAGCAGGGAGGAAGGGGAAAATATGAGGAGCTGATACCAAGGGCTCAAGTAGAAAGCAAATGTTTTGAGAATGATGAGGGCAACAAATGTACAAATGTGCTTGACACAATGGATGGATGTATGGATTGTGATAAGAGTAATATGAGCTCCCAATAAAGTGATTAAAAATTAATATAAAATATTTGTGTTCATTGAAAGACTTTATTAAAAGAGTGAAAAAGCCCATAGACTGGGAAAAGATATTTAGTAAGAACATAACAAAGGACTAATTACTAAAATCTACAGAATTTTACAAGCCTACAACAAGAAAAAAATAACCCTCTGAGAAGGTGGGCAAAGGACTCAAACAGATGTTTCACAAAGGATGACATTCGAATGGCCAATAAACACAAGAAGAAATGCTCCTGGTCACTAGCCATCCGGGAAACGCAAATCAAAACCACCATGAGATACCACCTCATGCCCATAACTGTAGCCCAATTTAAAAACTGTGAACAGCAAATGTTGGTGAGGGTGTGGCAAGATAAGAACTCATATCCACGGCAGGTGAACTTGTAGATATGAACAGCCACTGTGGAAGGCGGTATGGTGCTACCTAAAATAGATGGAAATTGAACTACTATTTGACTGAGCAATACCATTACTGGGAATACACCCCAAAAGTAAGAAACAAATCACGAGCAGATGTTTGCGCCCCCATGTTCATCACAGCACAGTTCACGATAGCAAGGAGCTGGAAACAGCCTAAATTTCCATCAATAGAAGAGTGGATAAAAAAAACTGTGGTACATACACACAATGGAATACTACGCATCCCTAATAAACAATGATGAAACCATAAAACACCTCTACTCGTGGAGGGAGCTGGAAGACATTGTGTGGAGTGAAGTTAGTCAAGCACAGAAGGACACAGACTGTGTGAGTGCCCTGCGGTGGGGACACGCAGCAGAACGGGCACACGTTCAAGCTTGCAGGCCCTCCGGTCTCCTGGCCGCGGAGCAGAGAGTCTGGTAAAGAGCTGGACCAGTCAATGAGCACACATCACCCACTCCAGCTAAGTTTGGTGTCGGTCACTCGACCAGAGGGCACCTCGTGACAGCTGGGATCAAATGGGCAAGGGAAGTGGGGGTTGCTGTCGCTGAGTGGTAGCCACATGGATCTGGGGTGAGGTTCTCCAGAGAGGGAGGAAGCCCTGTCAGAGGGATGAGGCTTACTGATGGGAGGGGCAGCAGGAAGTAGGGAGAGGGAATGGTCAAGTTTAGGAGGAATATAGGTGAATGTCTGTTGTGCGTGTGTGTGGGGGGTGACATCCAGGTGGGGGAGGAGAGGCTGAGGATTCTCTTAGGAACACTAGGTGGGGAGGGTCTTTAGTGGCATGCAGAGGGTGAGCAGAAATGACCCAGGGCATCTGGGGGTCTCCTGGGAACCCAGGCCGGCTGTAGTAGAGCACAGAGACACTGAATTCTGCATGGCATGCTCCAGAAGCTGCACCGGTGAGACCCCATATTGGAACCCCACGGGGTGAACTGGATGCTACTTCAGATGCACTTGTAACCTGAGGACTTAAGCCAGGAAACATACCGCGACCGAGGACACAGAAGACACCAGTACCAAGAGTGATGCACTGTTGGTTGGCAGACAAACAAACTCTTGCTACATCAATGCCCTGTATGCCGTATTATGAGACATATTATTCTGGCAGTCCTGTGATGGCCATTCTGTTATATTTGCTTATGCTTGTGTACATTAGGGTGTCTTTTTGAGGTGCGCCACCATTGGGGGTCACCCTCTTGAAGCTGTTATTTGTTTCACTGTTTCTCGGCAAATTAACCCCAAGGATGTTGAGACTATCAGGAAAGAAAGCGTAACATGGGCTTGGGAGGAGGGGTGGGGGAGATAAGAAGATGATGTCAAGAAGCCCAGGAGGGAGAAGCCCAGAAGATGTTTGGAGACTAATGTTGGAAGTTATTGTACAATTATGTTTGACACGATTGAATGATGGAATGATATGACATATGTATTCATTCCCAAGTCACAGTAAATTAAAAAAAAAAAGCATAGATCTAGGTATGAGTTCTGGGCTCACACTAAATCCTAGCTCCAATTTAAGAACAATTAGTTCTTACATCGTGGCACTACTCGATACTCACCTTCATGAAATGATCACTGAAGATAAGGGTGCTACAGCAAAATGTGGCAAAGCAAGTAGGTGGTGCCCGGCTAACAATCGGAAGTGTCTGGGGTCTTAAAGGCTTGTGTTTAAAGAAGCAGTCCGCTAAGTGAGGAGCTACTAAGTCCACACACAGGAGAAGCCCACCAGCTTGTGTGATCCAAAGATGAAAATTACAAAATTCAAATATGGAGAAGTATCAGAGCTAGAATTATGAATACACAATTTGTAGAAGGCTGTGGAGGACAGTGGGGGACCAAAACCCATCTACAGAGTAACTTAGTCAGACCGAGCTGCTGGCAGATACGCCCCAGCCAAAGGGCAAGAGCTCTGGACAGACTTACTATGAGGCAGAGACCATGTAATCTTGATTTTGCTGTATTGACCATGGTCCTTGGCCAGTGGACCTCCCTAAAGACACGACCTCCCTAAAGATACTTGTTCTGGGGGCAACTATCTCTCAGTTTTTCTTCCCTCGCTTTATGTGGATGGGGGTCTTCTCCCTCATACGCATTGTTTCTACTTTTTCTTTAGACTAATTTATCTTTACCACTTTAGTGCGGTTTGTTTTTCATTGTTTCTGTTGGGTTTCCCGGTGGTGATGCCCAGGAGCAGTGGCTGCATAATGAGAATAACTGATACAAGGGCTTATGGGGAATACAGGGTTGGGGAATGGGCAATAGGGAGGGAAAGGGGGTTCAGGAGTGGATAATGAGGGCAAGAGGGAGAGGGAGCACTAGAACTGATCGTGATTGCGTAGCTCATACTGAAGGTGATTTAACCATGGACTGGGGGGGGGGAGGTATGCTCTAAGATAGATGTGGTGGTGATTGTACAACCCCCCTTGATATGATTGAATGACTGAACTACTCAATTGCATGATGTGTAAATTATGTGTGAATAAAACTGTTGGAAAAATTTTAAAAATTAAATTAAATTTTAAAAATCCAAATGTTTTGAAAATATCATTGTCAAAAGTTAAATCACAATGTAAAAAGAAACTTTTTCTGAATTTGGAATTTCTGAAAACTTCTTCTTTTTGATAATATGAAAATATAAGTTATTCCACTAATAATAAAATAATAAAGAGGTTTTAATATATTCAATAGTATTTTGGTGGGTTGTTTTTAAAAAATAAACATTTTAATCAATCTAAACTTGCTTTAAGGAGCTCTAGTCACTTGGTGGATTACACATGGGCTTCTGACCACAGGTTCACAGTTCTAAACCACCAGCATCTCCTGGGGAGGAGGATGAGACATTTTGATCCCATAAAGATGTATAGTCTTGAAAAGGAAACCCACAGGGGTACTTCTACGCTGTCCCATATGGTTGTATGAGTCAGAATTCACTCGATAGCAATAAGTTGAGTGAAATCTTGCTTTAGGAAATGAGAATGGGCCTATGTTCCTTGATAGCAAGATCATATTTTTCACTCATAAATATTAGTGAATGAATTTTGCTAAAATAAATAATTTACTGCTGTATCCCAGAAAAGCTTGGTTCTGTAATCTCTGTTCTATAGCATTGCCTTTCTATATTTTTGTGTTGGTTTTGACCTTGCAATTTGTTTTCACTAGTGTTGAATTATAATGTATTTTTAATCAGGTAAGGACAATTTCCTACAATTAGGACAATGGAGGAAATCTGAGTATAGACTACGACTCTCAATTCATCGAACTGCCCCTGTGGGTTTCCGAGATTAGAACTCTGGTCTAACTTCGGCGGCATTTTATCACCCTGAACGCATTGGATACCCCAGCTCAAGGGCCTGAATGCATTTTCCAGATACACTGCAATTCCACAGCTCCTTTATCTGAACTCACTGGTGGATGTATCGCTCAAAAGGCTAGTGTTAAAGGCCAAGCTTGTCCTTAGCGTCCCACTCAGGAGAGCTTGGTTCTTCCCACTTACCGTGCCCTCATCAGGGTCATACAGTCTCTGTATCAGCTGGACCACGGTGCTTTTCCCACAGCCGCTCTTCCCAACCAGGGCCACCGTCTGTCCGTGCTGCACCTTCAGGCTGAGGCCCTTCAAGATCTTGGAGGGCCAAGAGGGGAAAAGGAACAAATTTCACAACCAAGTCCTAAAATGGAGCAATTCAATTTCAAATTTTTAAAAGTATCAAATATTGGAAGATAACTCCAAAAGGAAAAAACACATAAATATCAAAATAATAAAGACATTTCTCCAAGGGCTCAAGTAGAAAGAAAATGTTTTGAAAATGATGATGGCAACATATATACAAATGTGCTTGACACTACGGGTGTATGTATGGATTGTGATAAGAGCTGTAAGAGCCCCAATAAAATGATTAAATAAAAAAAGACATTTTTCATTTAAGATGACTAAGCAATCAATCATAGTTAGGAATTCCTATAGGTACAGTACCTTGACATTAGCTCGAGATGGGTAAGAAAAATGAACATCATTGAACTCCAAATTCACTTTGATGTTGTCTGGTTTGTGTCCTCTCTCTGAAAAACTGTCAATTTTAGGATTCTAAATAAAACAAAATTCAATGACTATTCCATCATAGGACAAACAATTATGTTTTTAAGGAATATGATTCAGCAAATCTCCAAAAATGAATTTGATGGGCACATTCTCCCTTATATAACACAGAACCTGAGGTGAAGATTGCAAATGTATGTGTGTGTTTTGTTTGAGGAAATTTTTTTTTTTTTAGGAAGTAGGCTTTTCCTTTAAGTTTTACAAGGAACCTATTCATTCCATTTCATATAATAGTTCACTTTGAGTATGTTCTCAGAAATCTTTTAAAGGTCAAAAATGCATTTATAATTTACTGAAAAAGCAAAAACCTTCTGTAATTGATATAGCCAAGATTCAGCACTTAGTGAAAAACAGCTTAGTCCTAGAGAATGAATTGAGAGGGAAAGGTTGATCAATTAATTGTATGCAAATTATTGAGGTAGATGTAAACTTTCAATATATTCAGGAGCTGAACAATTTTCTCATGACTTGGGTCAATGAAACAGGATGTTTTCTAGGATCAAATCATCACATATTAATAACCCATCCTGCATTTTGTCTGTATAAATGTAGTATCATATGTTAAACCCAGTTTAATTTATTAAATATTGTCAAATCAAAATCATATTAAATATGTGGAGGCATCCATGGGTGGGGAGGCAACACACAGCAAAATATACTACCTGCTTCATCAATAATTTACCCCTCCACATCCCTATGTGCTGTTGCTTGGTGTGACCGAGCTGGTGCAGACAGACCCTCAGCTACCCTGTGTGCAGCAGAATGAAACAGCAACCAGTTCTGTTCCATCCTCACAACTGCTAGGTTTGAGCACCTTGTGGCAGCCACTGTGTCAATCCATCTTGTCGAGGGTCTTCCTCTTTTGCTTTGCCCTCCACTTTCCCAAGCACAATGTCCTTCTGAAGGAACTGGTCTTTCCTGAGAACATGTTCAATACACTTGGGACAAAGTGCTGTCATCCGTGGCTCTTGGAGCATTTTGACTTTACTTCTTCCAAGACAACTTTGTTTGTTCTTTTGGCAGTCCATGGTACTTTCAATCTTCCCCAGCATCGTCATTCAAATGCATCGATTCTTCTCTGGTCTTCCTTATTCAATATTCAATTTTCTTTCTTTTTTAAAAATCATTTTATTAGGGCTCCTACAACTCTTATCACCATCCATACATACATCAATTGTGTCAAGCACATTTGCAGTCATTGCCCTCATCATTCTCAAAACACTTGCTCTCCACTTAAGCCCCTCACATCAGCTCCTCATTTTTTCAATATTCAATTTTCACATGCATACAGGGCAATTGAAAATACCATGGCTTGAGTCCGGTGTATCTTACTCCTCAAAGTAACATTCTTGCTCTTTAACACTTTAAAGAGATCTTGCGCAGCATTTACTCAAGGCAATGCGGTCTGTTCTCTCAACTGCTACTACCATCCACGTTGATTGTAGGTCCAAGCAAAATGAAATCCTTGACAACTTCCATCTTTTCTCATGATATTAATCACTGGTTAAATTGTGAAGATTTTCATTTTCATTACATTAAGTTGTAGGCCATATTGAAGGCTGCAATCCTCGATCTTCCTCACTTTCAGCCAGCCTCACTTTCAGCCAGTATCATGTGCATATTCCAGGCTGTTAAGAAGCCTGCGTCCAATCCTGATCTTGCAGTCTTCTGCATATAACCCAATCCATTTCCATTCACGAACACCTAGTGTTCCATTTCATTTTTCACAACTTCAATTTTCCTGAATTCATTCTTCATACATTGCAAATTCCAACAATTAATAGATTTTTTGCAGCTGTTTTTTCTTACTTGAGCTGTGCCCCATTGGCAAAGTAAGATCCCAAAGACTCCATTACCACAGACTACTCCATTCACATCACCATAGTCAACGCTACTTCAAGAAAGCAGGTCCTCCTCTAGTGCCTTCTGAATCAAGAAGCCCCTCCTCCTGCACTGTCTTTGACAATGCTGTGCTTTCATTCATTCGGCCTTCAGTATCTGACAGTATTTCCAGGCTCTGCATAAGGTTTTCAGTGGCTACTTCCTTCAAAGTGGGCAGCAGATTGCTTCTTAATAATAGTAATGTTTAAAAACAATAGCAACCAAAAACCAGAAAACAACCAATGCTGGAGAGAGTACAGAGAGGTTGGAACTCTTATGCATGGTTGGTGGGATTTTAAAATGATCTATTGTGGAAAGCAGTATGGGGGGGTCCCTTAAAAATTAGAAATAGAGGTGCTGTATGATACAGAAATCCCACTACTAGGAATATATGCTACAAAAATAAGAGCTGTGACACAATTAGATATATTCACATCCATGTTTATTGCGATATTGTTTTCAGTAGCAAAAAGATGGAAACCACCAAAGTGGCCATCAATGGGTGAAGCAATAAACAAACTATATTTTATACACATAATGGAATACTACACAGTATTAAAGAATAACCATGAGTCCATAAAACCTAACATGGATGAACCTAGAGGACATTATATTAAATAAAGGATATCAATCACAAAAATACAAATATTATATTAAGCCATTGTTATAAAAGGTCATCAAAAGGTATATGCATGAGAAGAAATATTCTATGATGATTAACCAGGGATGGGAGGGTAAAGAAGGGAAAGCACTGACTCGATAGTACACATGTATTAACTTGGGTGAAGAGAATGGAAAGAGACAATAAGGGAGGCTTAACATAGGACGACCAAGGCAAAGGAGGACACTGGTAGGTATACAGAGTAAAAGGCAACAATGACAAATAATATTGAGTACACAATCCTGCAATAGCAGTAATAAGAAACAATAATTTAAGATATGCAAACTGAACAACGTGGGATGGCATATAGGCGTACACCCACAAGTATACATAGTACTGGCAGAGTGAACATACGTATTGTATGTGCTATAAATATATCCACAAGCATAGAGCGCACACAGCGACATTATGGCCACTTCTGAGTCACTCGTCTCAGGAATGTAGGACCATAGTCTCTAGGAAATCTAGGTCAATTGGCATAACAATCTAGAAAAACCATCTTTGACATCCTCCTTTCATGAGTAGCTACTGAGATATTAAAAGCTTTGGGGAGACATCTAAGATACAGCTATTTTTCTCTTCCTGTTTGGAGTAAATAACAGCGGAGAAAATTAAAGAACCAATGAAACAGTCCAAAGGATGAATGGACCACATTGTCCACATCTTCCCCCTCACCTGAAGAACTGGATAGTGCCTGCTATCATTATCAAATGCTCTGAGACCACAAGAGCAGGTCCTAGACAGAGTGGGAGAAAAAGTAGAACAAAACACAGAACTCATAAGTAAGACCAAACTTATTGTGCTGATTGGAGGAACCCCACGTCTATTGACAGTCACACACCCTTCTAACCTGAAACCGCATGACTCCGAAAGGTCTGTTTCAGGCAAACACCAACAAAGAACGTGCTCTGAGCACAGTCAAACATGCAAGACAAACAGTGAAGCATTTGCCCAAAAGTAAAGTTCAGAAGACTGGAGAGGGCAGAAAAGACGGGCAAATGGAGACAGGAGCCCAGAGAAGATGTGAGAAGAGTGTTGTTACATTGAAGGATTTGCAACCAATGTCCTGAAACAAAATGTGTGTAATTTTTTTAATGGGAAGCTAATTTGCCCTTAAAATTTTCACACAGCTAAAAGTTCAAAATCAATATCAACAACAAATAGCACATCTTTCAGTAGCTACTCATTACCCAACTCCAAATTTTCCCACATTTAGGTATCTGTTAGAGTAGGCTCTTGGCATCAAATTATGTCTTCTTTATCTAGCATTGCTTCAGCAGAAATACCACAAGTGGATGGCTTTAACAAATGGAAATTGATTTGCTTAGTCTGTTGCCGTTTTTCAGTGCCGCCTAGTAAGCTCCCCGTCACAGTGACCCTACAAACGACTGAACGAAACACTGCCAGGCCTGTACCATCCTCACAGTGGTTATGTTTGGGCCGTTGTTGTACTCCTTGCGTCAGTCCGTTTCATTGAGCGTCTCTGTGTTTGCACCAATCCTGTACGTCACCGAGTATGATGCTGCACTGAAGTAACCTTTTCCAGGAGCTGGTCCTCATGGTGTAGGGGTGCCACCTTGGGCTGCCATCGGCAAAGTCAGCCGTTTGAAAAGCACCAGCCATCTCTTTCATCAGGAGAAAGATGGAGCTTTCTACTCCTGCAAAGAGTTACAGTCTTGGACCCCACAGGGTCCCTATCAGTCAGAAGAGATCGACGGCAGTGAGTTTGGCTTTTGTGTTCTTATTTTTTTGGTTTGGTCACTCCTGATAACGTGTCCTAAGTACATAAGGTGAAGTCTTACCATCCTTGTAAGGATCATCTGGCTGTACTTACTTTATCCAAGATATATTTGTTTGTTCTTCTGGCAGTCCACGGTATTCTTTGCCAAAACCACAATTCAAATGGATCGATTTTTCTCCAATTGTTCCTTGTTCATTGTCTAGCACTCACATGCCTGTGAGGTGACTGGAAATACCCAGACTTGGGTCAGGTGCACCTTAATCCTCAAAGTGACCCCATTGCTCTTTAAAATCTTTAAAAGGTCCTGGGAAGAGGTTTGTCCAGTGCATATGTAGTTCCATTTCTTCACTGCTGCTTCCATGAGCATTGTTTGTGGATCAGAGCAAACAGAATCCTCAACAGCTTCGATGTTTTCTCCTTTTACCATCATGTGGCCTCTTGGTCCAGTTGTGAAGATTTGTTTTCTGACCCTTGAGTTGGAAGCTGCAATGAAAGCTGTCGTCTTTTCTCTTCCTCAGTAAGTGCTGCCAGTCTTCCTCACTGCCAGCAAGGAGCCTGTTGTTAATGAGCCTTCCTCAATTCTATTGCCACATTCTTCTTTGTATACTCCAATTTCTTGGACTATTTTCTCAGAATACAGATCAAATCGTTAAGATGAAAGGATACAACCCTAGCACACATACTTTACACCACGCAGTATTGCCTGTTCTGTGTGAACAATTGCCTCGTTCATGTGCGGTACCTGTGTGAGCACAATTCCGTTTTCTCATCGCTATCCACAGTGATGGATAGTTACAATCCACAGAATCAAAACCTCTGTATAGTCGATTTTTAAAAGGTAGACATATTTATGGTATTCTATGCTTTTATCCAAGATCTACCTGACATCATTAATGATACCTCTCATTCAATGTCCCCTTTTGAATAAAGCTTCAACTTCTAGCAGCTCTCTGTTGATGTACTGCTGCAGTCATTTTTGAATTATCTTTAGCAAAGTTTTACTTGTATGTGATATTAATCATACTGTTGGATAATTCCCCCATTCGTTTGGGTCACCTTTCTTTGGAATGTGCACAAATATAGATCTCTTCCAGTTGGTTGGCCAGGTAGCTGCGTTCCAAATTGGTATTTCATCAAGTCCTGGAGTCAGTGTAGCTTGGACTCCCTTCAGTACCATTTCATCTTCATCTTACGCTCTCGCATCAACGGCTTGAATGTTGATCAGTTCTTTTGGTTACAAGGACACTGTGTATTCTTCTATCTTCTTTGGATACTTCCTCCATCATTCAGTAGTTGACCTAGAGAACCTTTCAATATTATAATTTGATGCCTGATTTTTTTCTTCTGTTCTTTCACCTTGAGATATGCTGAGCACATTCTTCCCTTTGCCGTTGTAACTCCAGGTCTTTGAACATTTCATCAGAACAGTTTACTATGTCTTCTTGAGCTGCCTTTTGACATTTTCTGTTCAGGCCTTTTACTTGATCATTTCTTCCCTTTGCTTTAGCCACTCTACATTCTAAAGCAAATTTAAGAATCTCTTCTGATATCCTCTGTGGTCTTTTATTTCTTGTCCTTTTAAATGACCTTTTGCTTTTTTTCATGTATGGTGTTCTTTGGTCATTAGAATGCAATGCATCAAATCTGTTCTTGACACACTCTTAAGTCAGGTGGGATAAACGTGAAATTGTATTTTGGGTTTGTTTTTTGTTTTTTTGCAAGCTTATTTTCATTTTCTTCACTTTTCAACCTGTACTTGCGTATGAGCAATTTAAGAGACTGTAAGTGAAAGAAGCGATAAGTGCAGGAAGCAATGCATCTGACTTCAGCATGCCATTTCTAGTGAAGGCCCTCTCCTGTGCACTCTGGGGAAAATCCCTGTCTCCTTTTAACATCTGTGGTGAAGATTAATTTCTGAATCTCCATGTGTTTGGGCATCAGTTTCCCCCAAAGTCGAGAAGGCTATCAGATATATAGGGATCCTGGGCCCAAAGGACATGCTCCATTCTGAGCTCTTCTTTCTTGGTGGTAGCAGAGCCTTCCCTCTCTGCTGGTTTCCCTCCCCCTTTGTCTCTTGTTAGATAAGAAGTGATACAGGCTACACCCCAGGGAAAATTCCCCTTACATCAGATCAGGTCAGGGCTGTGACTTGAGTTCAGGTGTTGCATCCCACCCTAAGCCAGTTATAAATGATTTGCTGATCACAACACTTGACATCATGTTTGTATCATTACATAACTGCTAAATCACTTCATTATAAGACAGCCAGTCCTCTAAGAATCATGGCTCAACAAACTTGGCACATATTTTGGGGGGACATAGTTCAATCCATGAGAAGGCATTTTGTCTCATCCACTATTAAGGAGGTCATTTGTTTAATTTTACAAAATTACATTGCATGTGATATGTAATCTAAAGGTAGATTTAATTATCCAAGCATCAAAGACTTTTGACGTTGAAATAATAAGTGACTTACATTATCAATTACATCAAAGATCACATAGGCCGCTCCTCTCGCATTGGCAAAAGCATCAATACAAGGAGCAGCCTGGCCAACACTGAAAGCTCCGATTAGGATTGAAAAAAAGACCTGAGGGAAGGAACATGGGAAAGAACAGTCAGTCACATTCTGGCACCTCTATTACATAAAATATGAGGGAGTACATCCCCCCCCCCCAAAGTAGAATTTTTTTCAAAGCTATCTTTTCAATTTTTTACAAAACAACCATATCACCATTACACTTAATATATTTGTCAAATATGTGATTCCATTCTTGGCAACATTTTTCAAATTCATCTGTTTGGATGGCTGACAGCACCTCCCTCATTTTTTTCTTCACTTCTTCTACATCGTCAAATTGGTGTCCTTTCACCTCCCTCTCCATTTGCAGAAACAAAAAGAAGTTGCATTGGATGAGGTCAGATGAGTAAGGTGTGTGGGACAAGAAAGGCATGTGTTGTTGTTGTTTTTTTCCCCCAAAACTGGCTTCACTGAGATGGCTGAGTGAGCAGTTGCATTGTCATGGTGGCAAAACCAGTCCTCCATCTGCCACAAATCAGGCCTTTTTTGTTGCACACTGTTATGCAATCTTTTCAGAACCTCTAAATAGAAAGCTTGATTAACAGTCTGACCTGGTAGAATAAACTCCCAATGCACTAAGAGTTGACATTTTCATCTGTTTGGGAAGTTGACAGACGTCCAAAATGAGACTTATCAATTGATTGACATTTCACTCTTTTTAAAATGAAAAAACCATTCATACACTTGAGTTTTTCACTTAGCACTGTTCTCGTAAGCTGTTTCTGCAGCTTTTTACACGAGCAGGAAACAAAATTTCACAGCCACATGCTGTTCTCTTAAATCAGCCATCACAAAATAAGAGGTTTGAGCAAAACTGTTTTTATGAAAAAATTCACTGTGACCAGAGAGAACCTTCCCAGACAATGCCACTGGATGCACGAACTCAGAGCGAGTTGCTTGACGCTCGCCCAGCGGGGAAAATGCGTACTATGAAAGCTCCCATCCAGCAGAGCTTTTTTCCATTTTGGGTGAGGGAATCCCTCACATGATTTGCTTAGAATCAAGGATTGAGTTCACACTTTTTCTTTTAAACAAAGTTTGTAAAACAATAAAATGTATGAGCCTAAAGTAGCACTTAATTACACAAATGGGTTTTGCCAACCTCAAAACTATTTCCCATTTCTAGTTTGCCAAACTATTTGTTGCTCTTCCCTTGGACTTAGATTAAAAAAGATCTTTTTCAAATATATTTTTTTGACTCTGAAGATAATGCCAACAGAGGGAAAACTTTTTCCAACCATACTATTATTTCACCTGGTATGATTTTTTTTCTCTAACAGTACAAGGAAGTAAAGAGAATATTCAAGATGAAACAAGGTGGGTATCTGGATTCTAGATTCTAACCCACTGCCATCAAGCCAAATCCAACTCATAATGATGCTATGTAGGGTATCTGAAACTTTAATCTTCATGGGAATAGTCTCATTTTTCTCCCACACAGTAGCTGGTAGGTTTGACCCACTGACCTAGTGGTTGGTTATGGATTGTGCTGATTTTCACTGACATGAGAAGATTGTCACAAACTATTGTTAGTTTCTTAGAGCTTTAACAGGTAGACATAATATGATACCAGTTTTGAAACAACTTCAACAACAATAGCAAAAGCCTGTATTTGCATATATAGAAAATTGTTGCATATTAATGAATGTGGAGGATGTGCCCCAATTAGCACTAGATATATATGAATGATTAGGTTATAAATAATTCTAGTTTCAAAACTTTTGTATTCTAATCCCATGTTCAATGAATATATGTCATTTTTACCATTACAAAATGAATATATTCTCTTTGAAATAGTAAACAAATTAACATCAACCATTCAAAATAACTTCTCATCTTATATTTCAGATACCGAATAGTTTATATGAGGAGTCTTAATGGCATAGTGTGCTCCCTGCTGGACTGCTAACTGAAAGGTCAGTAGTTTGAAACCACTTGCTGTTCCGTGGGAGAAAGACGAGGCTTTCTACTCCTGTAAGGATTTACAGTCGCTGACACTATAGGTTCACCATCAGTCTGAATTGACTCAATGACAGTTAGTTTGGTTTGGGAATGTTTTATATTAAGTGAATTTGACATTCATGCATACAGTGATTTATCTAAAACACTAATGTCTCTTTTATGTAACTCAACAACAATAGAATGAAGATGCTGGTAATTCATAGTCATTCTTCATAAATTCATTCCATTTTAATTTCCATTTGTATTATATATATCAACTGGTCTACTAACATGCTATTTTCTTCTCCCTACTCATAATTTTGACTTGTATCTTCAAGGCCAGTTTTGCCTATGGGATGAAAACAGAGTCACCGAAATACAAAAGCCGATAACCATAACTCACCTTTTTTGGCAAAGGAGGGACATAAGGAAAGAAAGGGTCGATGAAATAATAGCATTTTCGAGTTTTTTTTCATAAATACTGAGAACATTACTTACTGTCATTGCATTTCCAATAGTATACTCTCTTGATATAACCAGAGTGGATCCATACCAGAAGGCCAATGCATACGATGCATATATTAACAGGAAGGCAATGCCCATTGAGATATTTGCCGAAATCGCTTTCTTAATTCCGATCTTTTTAGCGTTTTCTAAATGTTTCTGATACCTACCAGAAAGCAAAAGGAGAAACATTATAATATGAGTAATAATCCACAGTCTGTGCCCTACTCACCTCCCACATAGTTGGAGGTTTAAGGAACAAAACCATGAAGGCAATTAACCCCTGATGAGAGCCAGCCTCTTGGGAATTAAACCAATTCAGGATCAGCCAGGACCAGAAGCATTCTGAGCCTTCCCTTCACTGGCCTGGACCCTCTTCCATACAACCAAGGTTTCCCTGCCATTCCAAACTGAATTCTAATCCTGGGGGCATGGAATGGCATTGCCTCATCTTAACGGACAGCATCATAAATCATGGTAAATAAAGTGAAAGGAGAGAAATAAAGCCAACCAAGAATGGTACTGAAATGAAAGTATGTTCTGGGCTTTCTAACAGCTCATTTTCTCTCTTCTAGAAGAAAAAAACAAATCCTCCCTCTACTGCCCCTGCAGTTGAGAAACAGGTATTTTGCATGTTCTTGTGCATGAACTTTGGATTATCTCTCTATTTTTAATTGGGCTGACCTTCAATGGTCAAGCCAGAGAACAATGTTATAAAATGGTCCCTGCTTATGGTTTCTTACTCAGTTTTCCAAGAGTTTAACTTTACATTTGTAAAATGGAGCTAATGATGCCTACCTCGCAAAATAATCATGAGGTTGGTAAACACAGAAAGTAATTCATATAGCACTTGCTATATAATTGGCAAAACCTGATTATTCCTATTCCTATTGTTATTACTATTATTGTGCTGGAATTTCATCTCTCCCTGAGATTTTTTTTCTCATTGTAGTATCTTTTTTTTTTAGTAGTAATTCAAATTCATATTACTGGTTTTTTGGATTTGATGTAATGATACAAAAATGTCTAGAATGTTTCCATTAAATTACAACAGTTTTTACACCAAATCTTATCTTTCTTGCTAGGCTTTGAGAGTATAAAGTTTAATTTTGGGAGTATAAAATTTAACTTTGGCTTTCTGAGATTAAAAATAACAACAACAATGAATAAACAATGAGACTTTTGAGAAAACATCACACAATTAGGGTGCTTCTGTTTCTAACTAAATAAACCAACAGCATGACTTAAAAAAAATTTTAACCAAATGAAGCATGAGAATGTAGTTTGAAAGAAAAGAATGTTGCCACCAAAACAAGTCTAACTTTTAATCACTGAAAGCACCCAACTCTTTAGGAAACTTTCCTCATATGTGGGTGCTTCGCCTCCTCAGCAGAGCTGAGTCTCCGGGATAAAGCCAGCATGCCTCGTCTAGGACTGTGCTCACGGCTGTGTGGCTGGGCCTCAAGGCCCTCACAGGAAGAGCGACATCTGCCCCAATGCGACACCAGGGTCCAGTGAGAGTGGTGGGCATGCTGTAATTACCTTCACTTAGGCGGCTCGCTTACCGCGGCTAACGGAGCAGCACTGATTACACTGACATCCTGAGGTCCAACTGAGGGTTAGTGTCTGTATGGACTATTGTGTACAGGAAGCAGCAGTGAGAGAGAAAAAAGGAAGAGGTTAGAGAACTGTGAACATGTTGGTTTTGAAGAGGTCTTCGGGAATAGAAAAATGAAAAATAGAAAACAAGATGGAAGGGATTAGGGAAACTGTTTTTACTGCTGTAGAATTTCTAGAGAAAAATGTTTATTTCAAAGAGTTGTGGGAACTAGGGGTATCAATGAAGTGCGAAAGAAGACACTTTACATGGAGTCAAACGTCAAGTTTATCAGGGGACGTTATTCTTTAAAGAAAGCAGGTTGGGGACATTTAAGTAGAGTGGCCTTTAATCATGGGAATTTGTTTTGGCATTTAGGTTTCTGAATATCAAGTTTCTTTCAAGCAAGCATATTTGATTGGGAATCCACAATTCAGGGGTGAACTTGAATGAGAAAAATTTGCATACACACTTATTTTTCACTACCCCATCTAAAGTTGTGTATCCCTTTTAATTATCATTCACTACTACAAATGCAGTATTAGTAATAACTGATGTTGCTGTTCATTGAAATCCAAGATTTTTTTTTAAATAAAAATTTTTATAGTTATCTTGAGGTGCCTTTTACCTACACCCCTAGTTTGAAATTAATATTGTTATTAGACTGACAGCTAGACATTATTCTTGAATAGGTTAATAGCAGAGGTGTGTGTCTGCTATATCACCTATCTCTTCTAGCTACCATTTTAAAATAGTTTGATAGCTGTACATCAATATTACAGTTTTTCTTTTAAAATATTATGTATTTATTTTATACATTTAAAAACATTTTTCTAAGAAGTGAGTCCATAGGCTACATGAAACTGTCAAAGGAGTCCATGACACAAGAAAAGTTAAGAACTTTTAGTTTGGGACCTGACTTCCATTACAATCTAGCCATCAGTAAGGGTGTAATGTTTTGCGAGGTAGAAGTTAACCCTAAAAGAGAAATAAAATAATAACACATACCACAAAATAAAGACCGACCCAAATGTAAAAGTAAGTTCTTTGAATTAGTGGGAAAAGAATCATCCGGACCTTTCTAGCTCCTTTTTCTGTCCCCCGAAAGCGATCACAGTCCTGATTGCCCCCAGAGCCTCTTCGGCCACGGCTCCTGCTTTTGCATAGGCAGCCAGCTCTTTGTCAGTGAACGCGGAGAGGATCTGGAAAGAAGAATCAGGCATGAATTCAGACGTGGAAAAAAGGTAAACTTTTCTCTTAGATCTATGCTTTCTCCCCAAACCGTATCCTTATCCAAATGTTGACGTCATGTGGCAAATGGCACTCAAGGACCTGATCCCATGGCTACTCTGACCTCAGACAGAGGTGAGCCCCATCTGTTTTGGTGATATACTTGTCAGAGAGCAGCGGGGGGGAAGACAACCAAACATATGACTCTAAACTGCATTTCTGAGAAGTGTCAAGTTCCACATCTACTTTTTTCCCTCTGTTGCTTGTTGCTTTCCGTACTGCTTTGAAAGGCGATTTATTCACCACCCTTTCTTTATCGTGTGATGATTTTTAACTACTAAGAACACAAGACTTCCAGGTCCACTCATGGGCATTCTACTGAAGGCTGAAGGACGTGTCACAGCAGATGGCAATGGAAAAATCAAACAAAGGAGATACAAACATTTCTCTCAGTAAGTGATCACCCCCACAATGAGCCAAAAATGCCAGTGAAATTTCTCAACTCTGTAGCATTGGCTAAAGTAGAGCGGGTTATGTGTATTGCACTGCAGAACAAAACTGGCAGAGTGCCATCTATCTGTCAAAGTAACTGTGAAGAATTGATATAAAAATACAGTCTTTAAAAAGTTAATATTGACTCCTGGAATAATGTGGACAAATGATACTTAAAAAGCACATTTCCTTGAATAAGGACATAACCACATAGGCAACTTAAACAACTTCATCAGAAATTTGACTCACAGAAATAAAAGCAGTACAAAAAATATAAAAACAAAAGAAACCCTGTAACTGAGGTGCAAACTGTGACATTTTGAATCACATTAGAAATCAATTTATTAAGACATCGCCATATTAACAACCTGCTTTCAAGTGATAAACCTAGAGACCTAGAGGAGTACACATAGCAGCATCTCGCATATTAAAAAGAAGTCCATAGGCATGAAAGGCCCAGGTTAAGACACACGCAATGGTCTAGGCTTCACATACCTTTGCCCAAACTGCTGCAGAGAGTCCCAGGATAGGGCTGATGGCCATTATCACAAGGGTGAGCTTCCATCCTCTGATGAACCCCACTATGAATCCTGCAAAAAACGTGGCTACTGCTTGAAAGAACATTCCAACCTTGTCACCAATTCCTTCACTGATTTTGGAGATGTCACTAAAAAAGATCACACCTAGGTGGTTACAGGCAGGAGGCGTTCGGTTAGGAAGGTGAAGTAGACATCTAACAAACAGACACCTCACAAACAGACAGGCAGCACTTGTTGGCACTCATGGATGCCTCTCTGAGTTCAGCCTTTTGAAGGACAGTTCCTCCTCTAAATACTGCACACAGGAAGACATTCAGGATTAACTCATGTTTCTAAGAAATTAATATCACTGAAGGGGATACTACGAAGTCGGCTAATCCTATAAGGAAGCACTAACGTTTTCGTGTACAGCTGCATTTGTCTAAAGGCAAGAGGTGAGGCGGCTATGGGCAACAATAAGAGGAAAGCACAGCTTGTTTCTACCCGTGTCTCTGTTCTCAACACAGTCCTTTTGCAATACCAAAGCCCAGAGAATCTTTGAAAACAGAGGTTTGAACAAGTTTCGCTCAGGCTTAGAAACTTCTAATAGCTGCTCAACCCCATCTAACTCCCAAGAGCTACTCATTTCATTCAGATTTAAAGCTAAAGCTCCTAGCTGGTTTTTAGGTGGCCTTGGGTTAGTTCAGACTCACACTGATCATCTGTACATCAGAAAGAAACACTGCCTGGTTCTCCACTGTCCTCTTAGTTTTTATAGTTGAGTGCATTGTTGCAGCCACGGTCTGAATTCATCGAGTCTGTTTTCCTCTTTTTTTGCCACTCCTCTGTTTTACCAAGCACAATGTCCTTTTCCAGGGACTGGTGTGCCCTGATACCAAGCCCAAGGTACTTGAGAGGAAGCCTGACCATTCTCACGTCTAAGGAGCATTTTGGCTGGACTTCTCCCAAGACAAATTTGTTTGTTCTTCTAAGGTGCTTTCAAAATTCTTTGGCAATGCCATAATTCAAATGCATCAATTCTTTTTCAGTCAACTTATTCACTGTCTAACTTTCACATGCATATGAGACAATTATAAGCATCGTGCTTTGGGCAGATGTACCAAGTGAAATTCTTACTCTTCAACACTTGAAAGAGGTCGTGAGCAGCGGATTTGCCCAATGTTTGATTTCTTGGCTGCTACTTCTCTGACCACTGATTGTGGATCCAAGCAAAACGAAATCCTTAACAACTTCAATCTTTTCTCTGTTTACTATGATGTTCTCTAATTGTGGATCCAAGCAAAACAAAATCCTTAACAACTTCAATCTTTTCTCTGTTTACTATGATGTTCTCTATGGTCCAGTTGGGAAGACTATCAGCCGAAAGCCAATGGTTTAAAGTAACCCTCTACTTGCTCCATGGGAGAGAAATAAACCCACCTGGTCCTGTAAAGATTTACAGCCCGGGGAACTATGCATCGGGTCATTATGAGTAGACTCAACTTGACAGCAAGGTGTTTGGTTTATCAATGCCTCTAAAGCCCAACGAACTCTGGCCTTCTCTCCTTTTTTACTTCATCTTTTCACTCTGCTCTTACCAGTACTCCCTAGACCAGCAGTTCTAGGTCGCGGCCCCTTTGGGGTCGAACGACACTTTCACAGGGGTCACCCGATTCATAGCAGTAGCAAAATGACAGTGATGAAGTGGCAACGAAAATAATTTTACGGTTAGGGGGTCACCACCACATGAGGAACTGTATTAAAGGGTCGCAGCATTAGGAAGGTTGAGAACCACCGTCCTAGACACCCCCAGCCCTACTTTAGGTTCTCTGCACAGGCTGAAGGCCTGCCTGTAATGTTGTCCCATAGGTTGTTTTTACTGCCTTCAAAATGTTCTTCAATTTATTCAACTGCCATCTTCACAACAATCTCCTAATTTTAATCTGCAACCCTCTGATCATTCACAATATCTCTTACCTGTTCCACTTGCTATTTTGCCCATGAATTTATTGTTTAGCATGTACTATAAAGTTGTTATTTATTCCACTTATTGTTTGTCATCTATCACCCTCTGCTGGAATGTAAGCACTAAGCATGTAGAGATCCTTACTTTATTCCCTCATATATCACAAGCATGGAGAACAGTCCATGGCACAAAATAGACCCTATTGAATAAGCAAAGATTTAATGATTACTAAGGCAAGTCTCTTTGCAAATCCATTCCATCACTTTTCCATCCACTCAACCATGTTTATTGGACATCTAGCACATGCCAGGCCTCGTGATAAGAGCCTTGAGAGAGATACATGCATGAGTCCTCAAATCTACTACATACTGGGAAGAAAAGTGAAGAAATATGGAAAATATCCTAGGCCTTAAATGCTTCTAGAAATGGCCCTAGATGATCTATTCCATATACATGTCAAATGCTTACACTATCTTTTCTTTACATTTTCATAGAGTGGTTGATTTTTTTTCACGGAAGTGTGAATTAGCAATACACTTACTCTGTCAGCCGTGTGTTGAGCTCTGTGGTGTCTTTGATATCAAACCAGCCTATTTCCTGTTGTAGAATGGCATGAAAAAATTTGTGCCTGATTTTCTTAATTTGTCGGCCAGCTGCCAAAGTCCAAAATGAAACTTGAATGTAGGCAGCCACGAGAACTGCAGCACCTAAGCCTGAGTAGTAATAGGCATACCTGGGGGGAAAGGAAAGGCTCTATCAATTACTATCCTTTATTCATGTCTTTCCGGAGGACTAATCAGTCTTCTGAACGGATCACACAGACTATGTAGAGTATTAGGTCAAATAAACATTTCAATAATGTTGTTTTCTTAAATTATAAGAAAATGAATTCCATGATGCCAAATCTATGTGGACTAGCAGCCAATGTAAGCAGATCAATTTTTGTGGTAACTGAAAAGGTTATTAGTAATTCATTTTTTTACTGATATTGACAATCTATATATAATTTAAATCACTATTATTAATTTGCTACACTAGCACACCTTATACTAATGAAAAAAATTCATTCCTATTCAACATACTGCACATGTGGAAGCAAACAAATCCAGTATGAAATATGATTAATTGCTATAACTCTTTCCATATTGCTTACACAAATAACAACAACAACAACACACCTCTTCCTATTTGGCAGAATTTGAAAAAAATTAAAGTATTACACTAAAATAATAGGAATTCAAACCAGTTTGGGGTGAAGGCTTATCCAAATTAGCAGCAAATTAGTACTCTTAAAAATAACAAAAACACTTTTCAGTACTTTCAAATGTATTTCTCACATAATTTTACAAACTGTTTCTAGATGAGGACTCTCAGGCTCCTCCCACATAAAGACGGTATGTGTGCTCAACTCAGTCACCGTCACTAATGGTGCATAAACATGGTGTAGCTGGCTTTTGAGGTTTACATAAAGGAGGCTGAGAAAATGAGGAAATGTCTTTTTTAAATGCCTTAAACTGTTGGATCAATTGACAAAATCGAAGTCTACATGTAGATTAGAAGAACAGGATTGTATCAATATTAAATTTTTTGGTGTTGATGACAACATCATAAAGATAGATAGATAGATAGAGCTTAGCCAATTACCTAGTCATTTCTTCTTCCAGAATTATGCCTGGATTTAACAGCGACAATGAGAAATTCACTAGATAGATACAAAATAAAACAAGTATAAAATTTTAAAGCTGAACAATTAATAGACATCACAAGATCTTACAAATCTGTTAAGAATTTAAACATATGAAAGCTAGAAGAAGCGACAGTAAAGCTTAAGAAAACCTCCTCTTCTCTTTCATAAGCATTTGTACCCTCTCAGTTGCTGAAGGAGGAGGAAAAGGGGAGTCAAAAGGCTTACAAAAGGCAGCGGGAGAAGAAAAGGGTCAAAATAGAAGACATTGCTTCAGTGCCACCTCACAGCCACAAGGCAGTTCTGACTCACAGCAAGCCTTCAGGGCAGGCACAACCCACCCCTCTGGGTTTCCTAGGCTGTCAGTCTTCACCAGAACAGAAGGGCTCCTCTTTCTCCCAAAGAGTGGCTAATGGTTTCTGACTGCTGACCTTGTGACTACCAGCCCAACACACAATATACCATGCAACCACGGCTTTACCACGTTCTGGTATTTTAAAAACTCAAAACTAAACTCACTGTCACCAAGTCAAGTTCGTCTCATGAAGACTCTGTAGGACAGAGCAGAACTGCCCCTGTGGGTTTCTGAGACTGCCAAACATGCAGGAGTAGAAAACGTCATCTGTCTCCTTGGTATTTTAGAAGGAGTGGTAATGGGAAGGAAAAATATTGTCTATTAATTTGAGCTAATTTAATTAAAATGTCAATGTGCATTTACTGTGTCATGTGTTGATTTTAAACTGATAATATTTATCAGTTTAAACTGATATACATTACAATATTTGACAATTCAAAAATTTTAAATGTATAATTTTATGATATCAACTATCATATGCAACCATTGCCCATAATCAATGTCACATTTCCACCACCATAAACATTTGCTGCTTCCTAAACAGTGGGTTTTAATAATCATTAACATTATCAAGCATTTCTTATGTGATGGGCACTATGCTGAGCACTTTGTTTGGATTAACTCATCTAAGGTTCACAACAACTCTATGAGGTTGGACTATTACATACATTTCCATTTTATAGAGGAGGAAATGGGCACAAAGAGGTAAAATAATTTACCAAAGTCTATCATTAATCAAGTAGAATGTTGGCCAAGATAGTTTGGCCTGTGTCTTCTGCCCACTATACTCTTACCAACAATTTATATAGTAATGGTTTGTTTTCATGTTTTTGAAAGCATAAACTGAGAAAAATCAGAAGAAAACAGTAGGCAGCTACTGCATTCAGAAAGCAATATGATCAATTTTATCACAGCATTGTTGAGAAAGCATACAGGACAGGCATTTCCTATTTACCATGATTCCAGAAGAGAAATCGATTTATCTTTGTGCCTTTACCATATGTAAATAGCCCAAGGATCATGGATGCTGTGGACTTTCTCAAAGATAAGGTTGAAATTTATTTAAAACTCCAACTACAGTCAGGATCAATTACCTGGCACATTGCCCCGATTATATCTTCTACTGATGTTCTATCAGTTATCAGATCCTTGTGAAAGCATTTGTGTTTTACTTTTGTTCCTATCTGTTTAGTTCTGTGTGCTCATTCCCCACCTGAGGTCCTAAACATAACACCTTCGATATGTCAAATTGGAACTGTGTTTGGAACTAGAGGCTCAAAAGCTGTCTTAAAGTGGTGGCATTTGCAAACTTCATCGCTCTAAGCTTCGGCAAATCTCTAGATGCATGTGTACGGGGTCTCCCGTCTGCTCTTCCCTCAAGTCACTCCCCCAGTTCCTGAATATAGAAGTTAGGTGAAATATTAAATGACTTATAATCGCCTCCAATGCCTACTCAGACTTTCTAACTCTCTCAATAAGAATATCATAACCCAGATGGAAACTGTCCTAGAAAATAAGACTCTATGGGCATTCTGAATGTAACCTACTGCTTTCCGGGGTCTCAACTCAAGAATGGAAATTGAGTCTGAGGTCAGCATCTTGGAGCACCAGAGCATCTCAGGAAACCAAGTGCTTTTGCTGCCTGGGGCCAGTTTCAATCCGTGCATTCTCAAAGAGACAGGGAATCCTAGAGCTGGGAAGAGCGCTGACTTGGTCTTCAAAGATAATGCCGACTATTCTTTAATCTCATAAATAGCTTCCAAGCAAACATTTAACCCTGGCTGTCTGTTAGTATCACAGGGGGAACCGAAATAAACCAAGAGACCCAAGATCTAGCTGCTCTGGACCAATAAGATATAAACCTCTGAGCTGGAGTGGTTTCATTGCTACCATCTCACAGCGATCTTCTCTAATGTTCACTGATCACTTACTGCATTCTAGCGCTTTATATCAATCAGGAAGAATAAAATTACTCTTCAAAGCACCGTGAGGATTGTAGGGGTTAAGTAACTTGCCCAGGATGAGTGAAGGATCAGTAGGTGTACAAATTGGGAAACATATTCTTGATTATCAATTTTAAATCTCAGAGTAAATCAATGCCTCTTGATTCTGCTTAAGGCTTCTTTTATCATGCTATTCAGCATGAAACAAAGAGCTGGTGTCTGTCCGGTCTGCTTAGACAGCACGGGCAGTTGACTAAGGTAACCCAGGGCTCAAAACAGCCTTTCCCTTCAACCACTAAGCAATACAAGGGCATCCAAGGTCCAGGGAGTTTGTCACAGAATTTTCTAGTTTTATGATCACACAGATTGAGCATAAATGACATCCTAAGACTGCAGAAAAAGAGCTGGTTTCCGCTAACGCTGTTCTTAAAATCTAGATGCAGCATGTTTTGTGCATCGTTTCTGTGCAGCTGAGTCATTGTGGGGGAACAATCCTGTCATCATCTAGCTTTAGCCTGTTGACAAGGACAGGCTCTGTTTACAGTGACAAGTCATTGTCAGACATCTTGTAATTTAAATATTCCCTTATTTCAAAATTCTCTTCTCATCCAGTTCGCATTAAATCTAAAACCAAACCCACGGTTCTAAAGGATGAACATTAAACACATCATCTCTATGAAATGCACCAGTGAGGGCAAGATATGACAAAATACCCATTTATAAACTATCAAGGGCTCATGTGGGAGGGGGGAACGGGGAGGGAGGGGAAAAATGAGGACCTAATGTCGGGGGTTTAAATGGAGAGAAAATGTTTTGAGAAATATGTACAAATGCGCTTTACACAATTGATGTGTGTATGGATTGGGATAACAGTTGTATGAGCCCCTAATAAAATGTTAAAATAAAAAAAAAAGAAAGAAAGAAATGCACCAGTGAGCTGAGCTCAGTGCTCTATCTGCTCCCAGCACCCATGCAGCTTTATGTTATTGTTTGTTTTTGTTTTTGTTTTTAATGATTCACTGGGCTCTCTGGATTTAGAGGGAGTATTCCGGACTCATAACACCCTGACAGGACAGAACTGAATTGCTCCACAGGATTTTTTTTTTTAACTGTGCAAATCACCTATTTATTCTGAGGAGCATCTGGTAGGTTCCAAGTGCCCACCTTTAAAGCAGCTGACTGCTTAGCCATGGTGTCACCAGCCAAGGGCACACAACAACAATGATGTTTTGTAAATATTTAATTTGCTCTAAACAGATAAGAGAATATTATTTTTACAAACTACCAAAGACTAGAAACTGAAATTCATAACATTTTAGAAACATCACATTATAGCCTTCCAAGCCAGCCAATAGGCCTAATGACAAATGTGGCTTTCAGGACTACAGTCTTTAATAAGAGTGTTTATAATTTGGGGATTTCTGAAACAAAATTAATTGGTCATTTTGCTGAGCGTCTCACTCCAGTAACGTAGGTCTATGAGTGACCTGCTTGTACCTTTCCCTGAGAGACCTTAAATTTGGCCTTGGACACAGCACATGACACCTGTCTGCCATATCCAGCTTCAAAGCCATTTGGTTGCCTAATTAAAAATAAGTTAAAAACAAGTAAACTCTTCCAAAGAAGAGAGTCGTGGAATTATTCTGGTGTTAGTAATAACAGAAACAGTACTGATGAAATTGGTCCAAAGTAAAATCAAATGTGTTAAGTGAATTTTGGTAATCTGACTTATTGTAGCCCTAAATTAACCCTTTTTCCATTGATATACTATTATGGGCATGACCCTACTTTAGATAGTCTCACATTTTAACATGTATTTGATCCACATTTCTTTTGAGACATCAAGGGTGATAAGTAGAAGATCATCTCACATTTCCTTCTCATCCCCTACCCCCAAAAACCACACGTTTTACTCCAATTTTACATTGATAACTTTTGCATTTTGGTTGCAAAACTCTGGTTGCAAGCAACTTATTTAAAACATTTTACAACTCACATGAACATTTTTTAAAGGCAAAAATAAAATAAAACTTGTTTTCTAGACCAAGCAATTTTTTCCCATTGGCAAGATAATGTAAATACTGTAGTTATAACTGTGGTTTCAATGGTAGAATGGCCTGGGTTTGAATTCTTCCCTAAAATTAACTAGCTGTGTGACTTTGAACAAGTCGATTATCCCTCAGTTTTCTCATATACTGCACAAGCTAATACTGCCAACTTCATAGGACTGCTTTGGGAAGAGATAAGTAAAATAGTGTATACAGAATGCTTAGCATAGGATCAGCACATGGTAAACATGAAAAATAATCTTATTATTGCTATTATTTTTATTATAAAGATAATCTTTTCAGAGTCAATAGTACCTTATAAACAATAAACACACTGTTTTTATAGGCACTTGTTTTATCCAAAGAATATTTACGCTGGATTCCTATAAGACATTAGTATTTATTAATATTTAGGCAGATTTCATTGTATAAACCAGGCAGGTATATTTTCTTAATTACACTTAAGACCTAAGATGCTGACTAATAGGAGGTTCTCTATTTGTAAACACTGAAATATTTACTAAGCATTCTGAATGAATGCTAACAAAGTGGTAGAGCACATTTGTGTTCAGGTGTCTCAGCGGGAAAGCCATCTTTCCTTTGCAGTTTTACGCCCCTTTCATATAATCATCCTTGCACCAACAACATTTCACTCCATTTCATCCAGCACAAGCCTGTAGGAGAAGCTGACCATTCAGGCTTGGAAGAAAAAGGACAGAACTTGCTTTTTCTGCTGAAATTGGCCAAAATAACTCTCTCTACTAAAGCATCAGAGGAGCGCTGGTGGTGTACTGGTTATGCATTGGGCTGCTAACCATAAGGTCAGCAGTTTGAAACCACAAAATGAGGCTATCTACTCCCATAAAGAGTTACTGTCTTGGAAATCCACAGAGGCAGTCCCACCCTGTCCCATAGTCATGATGAGTTGGCAGGACTCACGGCAGTGAGTGAGACTGAAACATCAATCTATACGATTGCCAGAGTCCATCTGATAGGTGGAACTAACTTATGAGATTCTTTGAGTCGTCAGTAATTTAATTGAAATTTAAATGGCCTTTATTTGAGGTTTCTGAGAATTCTGCAACACCCCTCGGGGCTTAATGGTTACATGTTAAGCTGCTAGCCATTAAGTCAGCAGTTTGAAACCAACAGCCGCTCTATGGGAGAAAGACAAGGCTTTCCACTCCCATAAAGAGTCATAGTCCCAGTCTTGCAAGATAGAATTTGAGTCATGGTAGTGGGAGCGGGGAGGAAACCTTTAGGAACTAGAGGAAGGTTGTATTTCTCATCATTGTTACATCGCACCCTGACTGGCTCATCTCCTCCCCGAGACCCCTCTGCAAGGGGATCTCCAGTGGCCTACTAATGGGCTTTGGATCTCCACTCCGCACTGCCCCCATCATTCACTATGGTGAGATTTTTTGTTCTGATGATGCCTTACACCTGATCCCTTCGACACCTCGTGGTTGCATAGGCTGGTGTGCTTCTTCCATGTGGGCTTTGTTGCTTCTGAGCTTGATGGCCGCTTGATTACCTTCAAGCCTTTAAGACCCCAGACGCTATACTTTTTGATAGCCGGGCACCATCAGCTTTCTTCACCACATTTGCTTATGCACCCATTTGTCTTCAGTGATCCGTTCGACACCCCGTGATCACACAGGTTGATATGTTGTTCCATGTGGGCTTTGTTGCTTCTGAGCTAGATGGCCGCTTGTTTACCTTCAAGCTTTTAAGACCCCAGACGCTATATCTTTTGATAGCCGGGCACCATCAGCTTTCTTCACCACATTTGCTTGTTCACCCACTTTGTCTTCAGCGGTTGTGTCGGGAAGGTGAGCATCATAGAATGCCAATTTAATATAAGAAAGTATTCTTGTGTTGAGGGAGTACTTGAGTGGAGGCCCAATGTCCTTCTGCTACCTTAATACTAAATCTATAAATGTAGGCTCATAGATCTTGCAAGACTGGCTAGACCAGAGGAGGTACACTGGTACAGATGGGAACTGAAACTACAGGGAATCCAGGGCGGATGAGCCCTACAGGACCAGTGGTGTGAGTGGCAAAACAGGGAGGGTAAAGGGAGAATGGGTAGGAAAGAGGGAACCGATTACATGTAACTGTGTGTGACCTCCTCCCTGGGGGACAGACAACCGAAAAGTGGATGAAGGGAGAAGTCGGACAGGGCAAGATATGACAAAATACCCATTTATAAACTATCAAGGGCTCATGTGGGAGTTGGGAGCGGGGAGGGAGGGGAAAAATGAGGACCTAATGTCGGGGGTTTAAATGGAGAGAAAATGTTTTGAGAAATGATGTACAAATACGCTTTACATAATTGATGTGTGTATGGATTGGGATAACAGTTGTATGAGCCCCTAATAAAATGTTTAAAAAATAAAAATTAAAAAAAAAAAAAAGAGTCATAGTCCCAGAAAACCACCAGGGCAGTTCTACCCTGTCCTATAGGGCTGCCACGAGTCAGAATTGATTTGATGGCAGTGAGTGTTTGAGATTTGTGACATCTATTCCTTCATCCGTCCAACTCACTGCCATGGAGTGTATTCTGAGTCCTGACTACCCCATAGGGCAGGACAGAACTGCCCTGTGGGTCTCTGAGACTAACTCTTTATGGAGAGAGAGACATCTTTCTCCCACGGAGACACCAATTGTTTCAAACTGCTGATCTTGTGGTTAGCATAACCACTATGCCACCAGGGATCCTCTGCTCCTTGGTCCAATTGAGTTTTAAAGAATTCGCTCTTGGATTTGGCACATCCATTCACTTTTTATCAAACTGCTATATCAAGTTCCAGTTAACCTGCTTGGACCAAAGAGGAGATGTAATAAAAGAGAAAGAAAAGGGAACCTGGAAAGATCTGCAAGATGAACACTGCTAATAAGTACTACCATGCTGATGGAATGATCTTGAAATCCATCAGAAATCATTAACAGTAAAGGCACTATGTATCTATACTGCATTAAAGTTCCAAAAGAAAAAGTTAAACAGCAGAAATTTCTTAAAATTTAAATGAGCTATCTTTGAGGAGTTTTCTAAGGTATGTTCACCTCCTATATGTCCTCTGTAGTCATCTACATACCTACATCATCAAACCACTATGTAATAGATGCCAAAATAAATTTCCAATATTTCACCCAGTTAAAACAATATCATAATTTTTTTAAGGCTAAGAAAGGCTTACCTGGGAAAGAGAAGTTTCCTGCAGTATTAACAAAGCTATCAGTCATTTGTCCAAATACTATCATCATGAGTGGAAGACCTGATCCATGAGCTATGGCCATGATGGTGCCCAGGGACATAAATAATTTATCCTGCCAATCAGAGTATCGAAACTAAAAAAAAGGAAATAAAATAATACTTAGCTTGTGGAATGGAATTTCTCTTTTTCTATGATCACATGTTATTTAAAAAATATATTTAAAGTCAGCACACTTTTTAATTTTTGTATTTTTAATAATTTTTTTAATTGGGCTGAACTCTTGATCTATTTATCTCATTTAATCTCAACAATGGAGTGAGACCCAGAAGTTCAATAGGTCAGCATTTATCTTTTTCCCCAAAAAATGTTTTATTGGCATATTTACATATCATACAATTCAATAGTTCAATTCCATCAAGAAGAGTTGTACAATAATCACCACAATCTGTTTTAGAACCATTTAATCATTCTTGGACTCATTATTATTAGCTCTTCATTTCCCCAACCTCCCCTGCCAGACCCTTAAAGGACCATTAATTCGGTTACTGTCTCTATAGATTTATCTATGCTTGATTTCAAATTCAGAAAACATTTTAAAAAACACTAAAAAGAATAAAGTAAAACAGATTTAACAAGCTAAACTGAAAGTAATCAGACAATATTAAAAACTAGAACAAATTTAAATGGATTATAAGGGATATCAATTGATAGGTTGCTACATTTTAACCAAACTGCATTTTAAAACATAATATTTTTATTGACGTATCTTACTCATTCCAATATATCCCTTCCCTTCCCATATAGTTCAGCTGTTCAATCCCATCTGGTGGGGCTATACAATCATCAATGCTATTAACTCCCCTCTCCCCACGGCCTCACTTCCCGTGCCCTCAGGGAACCCTGAGGGGTCATCTATCTTGACTTCCCTGTACTGAGACATCTTAAGAGTACAAATGCAGCACACTTTTTAATAAGAGTGACAGATGAATGTATTTGGATAGAAGACTCCCAATCCAGGCCGAGGATGCCAGGCCTGAAGGCCTAGGCTGCCCGGTCTGATGGGTGTGACAGGTGCACCTCATGCAGGGGCCCTGGCTCCCCAGGCAGCCAAAACACAGAGGGGCGGGGAGGAGACTCCCAATCCAAATAATTGACAGGCTAATTTCATGACTATTTATTTTGCATTCTGTGAAGAAAACAACTTAATTCTGTTTGATCAGTCGATGGTTTAGGTGAATTTTACAATACGATACTAGAGATAAAGAACTGTCTTTGACAACCCCATGGAGCACAATTCTGCCCTTACACAGATAGGGTGACTTTAAGAAAGTCTTAGGAAAATGATGCTCATGCCGAATCTTGAATGATAAGCAGAGGTCAAGGGGATACTCAGGTTAGTAAGGATGTTGGGAATGAGAACAGCAAGGATTCTAGACACTGTGTGGACTGTTTGAGTGACTCCATGCAGGTGGTATTCTGGAGCGCACAATTCCAGATGTGCAAGATGATATTAGGAAGAGGTATAGAGGGGCTAGTGAGCCACACTGTGGTTCTTGGATTTGGTCCTACCAGCAGAAGGGGGCGGTGATACTGACCATCACAGGGAGTACTTCAAATACTTTCTCACCTGCTATTTTTCATTCCTTTTTAATGCCTCATGTTTTCTATTTCTGATTGACCAGTACATGGTTCTCTTTCTTTCTATTCGCCTATATCTGAATGCCAGACTGCTTATTTCTCTTATTTTTAAATTTCTTTCATTTCCCCCTATTTCTTATGCTGTCCGCCTCTTTTTAAACTTTCCTCTATTCCCACTTCCTTCACCCCACCCCCTTTGGGGACAGAGAACAGTCATCGGGAGAGTGGGTGATGAGTCAGGCTTTGGCAGAGTGGAGTCCCAGAAGGCTGACTTTGAGTCAGACTGGGTCAATACCCCAGGACACCACACAGGTTGGAAGCACGTGGGACAGTGGGGACAAATGATGTGCAAACTGTTCTCAAAGTGTTCCAGAAGTTCAGTCTGAGGATAGGAACTTCCATTATCAAATGCACAGGGCTAGCAAGGGTACCCAAGGAGACGAAGTTCAGAAGCTAGGTAAAGCTTGAAACAAAATAGCAAGTGGGTAAATTCAAGAGTAAATCAAGAAGAGTTCCTAAAAATGTTATAAGGACTATTGTCCCCATGGTTTATCTTTACTGGCTCCCGAGAAAGGTAGAAGATTCCCTGGTGGCTCAGTGGTAAAGGCACTGACTGTTAATGAGAAGGTCAGCCATTCAAATTCACCAGCCACAGCATAGGTGACAAATGTGGCAGCCTGCTTCCGTGAAAGAGTGACCACCTTGGAAACCCTATGGGACAGCTGCACTCTGCCCAATAGGGTGATTGTGAGCTGAAACTGACGGGGTAGTCATGAGTTGGGGCTTTCAGGAAACGGGACGGGCCTGTCAGTCGCAGATAAAGGCTCAGAGTCAGGTGGATATGCAATGTTATCTGTAGTGAGCATGACATTAAATAGAGAAGCATTTAAAAAACTTTTCACATTAATTGAAAAAATTATAGTCCATACGCTTACATTCGAGGGAGAAAGGCAGAGCTTTCCACTCCCGTGAACAGTTACAGTCAGAAAGGTAGTTCGACCCAGTCCTCTGGGGTAGCAATGAGTCGGCATCTACTTGACGGCGGTGAGTTTGAATTTGGAAGCTTACATATAAAAGTGTTCATGTCACAGTAGTTAAGCACTCAGATACTAAAAGGTCAGCAGTTCAAATCCACCAGGCACTCCACAGGGAAAAGATGAGGCAATCTAGAATTCCTTAAAGATTTACAGCTTCGGAAATCCTATGAGGCAATTCTACTCTGTCCTACAGGGTCACTTTAAGTCATCATCAATTTGTTGTAAGTAGGCTGAGGTTTTTGTTTTGCTTTGTTTTGGTAAGCATACGTATAAAATTAGGTGAATTTCACAGAAAAATCTTAAATAAACCTTTTTTGGGGGGAAGTGCCAATTCAAAGTTTAAATAATGCTTTTTAAAAACTCAAATGCAATTTTTTGTTTTTACTTAAAATTCATTGGTTCTTTCATTTTATTTTTGTGGGGGAAAAACAAAACCCAACTCACTGCCATCAAGTCGATGCGAACTCCTAGTGGCCCTATAGGACAGAGTGGAACTGCCCCCATGAGTTTCTGATTGCGACTGTTTCCAGAGCAGGACGCTCCTCTTTCTCCTGCAGAGCAGCTGCTGGTCTCAAACTGTGGACTGTTCGGATCACAGCCCAATGCATAACCACTACACCACCAGAGCTACTTGATTTTTGTGGGAAGTAAGAATCTCAAAAACGTTTTAATTTAGTGCTTTAGTGAATATGTTGTAAAGCTAAATCTGGTTTTGATGCACAAGTTTTAAATATTTTTTGTGAGGGGGAAGTATATTTAAAACCTGTGCATATAAAAGCAGATTTAATTTTATAATTTATTCTCTAAAATATTAAATTAAATACTTAAAAAACCCTCTTAGTATGGCTTTTAATCATATAAAGATCACAAGGATAAAAGAGGAGAATAAATGCGGGGTTTGTGGTGGTGTGAGAAGTACACAGCAATGAGTGAGAGTGTAGGTATTTTTGTGTCTTTCATCCATCTACTTGCTAAGTGTGGCCATTACTTAATCTTCTGTCAACTTGAGCGAAGGGGTGGAGTTTAACCTGTCAATCAGGTCATAGCCAATGAGGCCTCTGTGTGGGCCTGGCCTTCTCCAGAGATTTCTGGGAACTCCTGTCTTCCCTCCTGGAGGCAGGACACACTCTTGCTGAGAGGCATTCCTGTTGACAAACCACATGAAGCTATGCTGATGGAGCCAAAGCCCTGGAGCAGGAAGAGCCCTATGGAGACCTGTGCCAGCATTTAGATGTTTCCACTGCCACTGGATCCACAAGACTTTCTACCCACTGGCCTGTGATCTTCCTGCATTCAGCATCATTGCATGTGTTGGGTGAGTCTAAAGAGGAATTTATGAACTGGTATAGGACATGTGGGCTAATATTGGATTTATGGACTTGATCTTGACTGGGCTGAGATGTTTTCTTACTATACAATTACTCATTGATATAAAACTCTCTCTTACACATATATGAGTGTCTATGAATGTGTTTCTCTAGTCAACCCGGACTAACACACTAAGTTAGAGATTTCAGTTGGCATGTCATTTAATACCTAAGCGCTTTACTCTCTAATAAAGTCAGTCATAGTTTGAAACACATCTTGTTTACCAAAACCAGTCCAACAATTTCATAGGATGCCTCTGTGAGATATATGTAATAGATTCAAAACAGCCAGTTTAGAGTTCTTCCAAAAATGTGCCAATTTGACTTGGACCAGCAGATAAATATTAAAAATAATCTTAAATATAATCTGACTCCCAAAAAATTATGCTGTATTTAGCCAATGTTCCTGGAAGCTAAATGTGAGCATTTATTCCCGTGTTCTAGGTTTTCTAGGGTCAACGACCACTTTTTAAAATATGCAAGTTAAAGTTAAATTTTGGTTTTAATTTATTTTGAATCATATGTGGAGATGAATTTCTCTGAAAGTGGTTAGCTTTAGTGGTGCTAATCACTCAGGTTTGTTCTTAATTTCTCCGTGTGCCATTTAGCTCTGTTCTCTTCCACACTAGCCTGGCCCTGCCTGTTTTGTCATCCAGCTTGAGGATATGGGTTGTTGACTACATGAGCCAACCAAAGACAGTACAGTGAGGAAGGGAAAATAAATGTCTGTCCATTTACAACCTTAAAGTGCTTGCTCTGTAGCTACTGACTCAAAATACCAAACTTGAATGAAGATAGTATTATTCCATTTATATTTCATAGCTTACCAATGCTAATGGTCCAATCAAATTTACTTTCTTCATCTTGTTCTTGTCTTGGTTGCTGTAAAAATATCATTGTTTTCATTAAAACCTTTCACAAAATTTTTTCAGCCAAAACAACACAGAAAACTCATGGTCACCGCACAGAAACCCTATGACAGAGTATCAACTGTCCTTGTGGGTTTCTGAGAATGTAAATCTTTACAGGAGTATATAGCCTCTTCTTTCTCCCACAGAGGAGCAGGTAGTTTCAAACTGCTGACCTCGCAGTTAGCCCCCTACACCAACAGTTGAAGATAAATTTAAACAGTTATGAAATTAAACTATGATAGTATTTTCAAATATAAAAAGTTATGTTCACAAATTGTTGAAATTACCCAGTTTAACAAACACTGCAAGGCAGCCGAGGTGGCGTGGTTGGGCTGGGTTACATGTGGGGCTGCTTACCGCCAATTCAGCAGTCGCCATCCACTCTACGAGACAAAGATGAGGCTTTCTACTCCCAGAATGGTTACCATCTCTGAAACTCTTATCATCTCTGAAACTCACAGGGGCAGTTCTACCCCATCTTGAGTTGCTATGAGTCTGCATGGACTCTGTAAAAGTGAGTTTGACCAGGTGACAAAGTAACTGTCCAAGGTACCACAAAGGCTTAAAGATAAATGCAAATGGTCAACCTGCCTTATAGAGCTGGAACACAATGGAAAGACTAAAACCACACACACACACAAATAAAACTTCCTGCCATTGAGACAACATTGACCCACATCAACCCTATAGGTCAGGGTAGAACAGCCTCTGTGTGTTTCCGAGACTTTATTCTTTATGGGAGTAGAAAGCCTTGTCTTTCTCTCAGTATGTTAACAATGCCTACCAGTTCAATTAAATTCTTCTTTTTTATAATAATAATAATACCTATAGGTCTAAGATTGGCAGACTACTCTTCTGAAGGATTGTGGGGAATGGTGTCAGAGAATACACTCAAAATGCATCTAGAATGTAACCACTTTTCACCACTTTCTTTGCCAGCTGCAGGTCCTTTCTTGACTGGATTTTTCAAATAGCCTCCTGCCTGCTTTCAGCACTTCCCCTGATATACTCTTCAGACTATCCTCAACACAGCAAATGAGTGACCACTTGAAAACACCAGTCAGAGCATGTCATTCCTCAGCTCCTATTTTTCTCAGAGTAAAAGTCAAAGACTTTGCATTGGCCTCTGTGGCCCTGCATGATGTATCTCCTTGCTACCTCTCTAAACACACCTCCCACTCTTACCTCTGCCCACTCTGCTCCAGCCACCCTGGCTGCTCTGATATTCTGTGAAACATACCAAGAACATGTTCCCATCTCAGGAGTTGGCATTGTCAGCTGTTTGCTTAGTACATGTATTAATAACATCTTGTCCTTTATAACTCCACAAGGGCAGTGATTTTGAATTAAGGTGAATTTATCTAGCTTAAACATCAGGAAAGATGGTCTAAGTTTATTCATCAGGCTTGATTCCAAATTATTTACAGTGTTTCTTAAAATTCAAAAGTCAAACACTGACAAGTATATCACCCTTCCCACAAATGTGCCATGGGCAATCATAGCATTATTGATACAAAGTCTAAACTTAGCTCTAAATTTGTCATAGACACGGATGTGTGCTTAATCCTCTTTGAATTGATAAGCAAATTATTGGTCTGCTTTTATTGTAAAAATTACCTAATATTGTATTTATTTTCCCAAGCTAACGTTTTAACATATTCTGAACTTTCTGTCCTCATTTAGACTCCCCTTCTTTTCAATACGAGACTGAGAGTTAGGCTTTTAAGAACTTCTCTGGGTTCTGGACCTTGACTACAACTTTTGCAGGGGCAGCTCCTTAGTACACTGATCCTATGATCAGCCAGTCCGATACAGAAATAGCCTTCTTCATGAAAATGCCATCTATTTATAGATTCCCAGTCGATCCCAGCCTAATTGCAGCTGGTGAAAACCACATTTTAAAAATTAAAATAACACCACCCATCCTTTTTGCCAGGTCAACAAGACAAAACTAAAATTTCCATGTTTAAATACCGCAGTTTTGAGAAGGAAGAGAGCAATGCCACTGAACTAAGGGCTTAACAGACTAAAACAATGCTTGCATGGGAGATAGACTTATTTTCAGTTAGCTAATCAGACTCCTTGCAGCTTGAGGACAAACTACACAGCTTGATAAATTTGTCCCTCTGGGTGATCCCTCGATGACACAGGTCAATTAGTTCTGGGTGGCCTGGCATGAACTCAGAGACCATAATAGCCTCATCAACTCTTTGAGACTAAAGGCGAACATGATTCACTATTCCCGCAGTGAAAGAGGAAGCGCACACACACCATTGATGGACTGACTCTTCCCCTAGTAAGGCTTGTGAAGGGTGCTTAGGAAGCCCCACCCCCATCCCCTGCCCCCCACACCAGCCAAATGAAACGGGAAGAGCAGGCGCTGGGAGAAAGACGCGCAGGCACAGAAAATGCTGAGTCCCCCCTTGCATTTGAACAAAACCGATCTGGGAGCGCAGGCTGGAGAAGAATGAGGCTGCCCAGAACCCTCACCCCCACCCCCCTACCCACCCACCCATCTCCTCACCCTGAGGGGAGAAATAAAAAAGGGTCTAGGAGGGGAGAAGGGGAAGGCAAAGAAGCCCTGTCGGGTTACCCATTCGGCAAGGTAAACAGGGCCTTATTTGTGCTTATTTACTAATCTGTAGCGAACACTTTCACATTTTTAAAAAGCAGCACCAAAGAAGCCCTTCCAGGCCTGGCTGGCACCAGCCTCTCTCCCAATCCCACAACACCTTCCCGCAGAATCATAGCTTCTTTTCACATTTAGAGCCTTGCAGGTGCTGAGACCTGGGGAACCTTTCGCTGCAGAGGAGTAAGGGGCACACAGGGCCAGGGCCGGTGTTTACCTAGTAGACTGGGCACTGGTCGCTGCCCAGGACAGTACATTGGAACCCGGGCTTTGATTCCGCAAGGCGGTTGCTATAGGCCTGGGACCGACCGAGCGCGCCGCAGAATCTTTGGTGTGGAATAGTGAAGTTGCTCGCTGCAGATTAGGAAGTAAGCACAAGTCACCAGTGCTTCCCTGGCTTATCGGGTGCTTGGACACGGTCAGGAGAAAGAGAAATCACCGGGGTAGCGGGGTCGGGGTCTGTTTCATCAACCTTACCAGCCCAGACATCCGCCAGGACCAGGGACCCCTGGCCGGTGCACGTGAAAGTTACGTGCAAAGCCGGGTCTGGAGTTCCAGAAGGCAAGGCATCGGATGCCACAACCCGGAGAGAGGCCAGCACTTTACAGACCACCCAGCTCCCGACCCCGTCCCAGCGGAGCCTCGCTGGCATTCCCTGCGGCGCCGGGAAACCGGCTCTGGGCTCGGAACTTCAGACCCTCCCCTCCAGCAAGCCCGGCCTCTCTCCCCGTCTGCCCCGGGCCCAGAGTGGCCCTGGTGAGTCACGCGTCCCGGGCAAGCCGGTGGCTGCCGGCGACCTACCTGCAGTTACCCAGTTCCAAGTCGCCCTCCGCTCCCCTGGGGCGCCGGGCCGTCCCGTTCCTGCCCGCCTCCAGAGCCATTGCAGCCTGAGGAGAAAGCACAGCCTCAGCCTCGAGCGCGCCCCGCGGCCGCGTGCACGGGGGGCCAGGCCCCGCGACCCCCGCCCCGGCCCCCGGCCCCGGCCC